TCCTTTTCAATCCCTATGAGGCAAAAGAATTCAATGCATGCCATTGGAATGAATGCCTTCTCTAGCAAACTTAGTCTTTTAACATCGTTTGTAGCAGGCCCTTTCACCAGAGAGCGCATTTGAGCATTGGTACATTTTTGCATTTCTTTTTCTTCTTGTACCATTCACTGAATTATAATTTTTTCCCTTCTAGTTCTGCAAACAAATGTCTGCTGAAAGTAGCTGGATATGCAGCTCAGCTAGAGCAATATCAGAAGGCTGTTGAAATTTTTGAACAGGTCGGTACCCAGCCTTCCGTTTTAGAAGCGTGTGTATAAACCAACAGGCATGCAATTTAACTGAGTATCTGTTTACTTACTACATTTATACCCCACTTCCTTCCCTAATGGTGACCCAAAGTAGCTTACAATATTCCCTCTCTTCTCTGTTTTATCCTCACAACAACCCGATGGGGGTAGGTTAGGCTGGGAATGTGTAACTGGTCCAAGATCATTCAGCAAGTTTCCATGACAGAGCGGGAATTTGAACCGGGGTCTCCCCTATCCTAGTTTGATACTGTAACCACTACACCACACTTCTCATGGGTGACTTGAGAAGTGGAGCAATAGATTTGGGGATGCATCAGACTGCAATCCTTCCTGTAAGTCTGGTTGTGATGCCGCACATCCTTTGATGAAAGGAACCCTTTGTCCCCTTTTCAGGAATTAGCTGTTCAAAGCCAGGGGCGTTTTCCTTTTAGATGCCTGTTGTGAAGATAGATTACTTCCCAGTTATCTCAGCCAGATGGAAGTACAGCCAACTCAGGTTATATTTTTAATGAAATCCCGGATCTACCTTTCAGATCTCCTGATACAGACCCCTGTTATAAATGTTTTACCATCTGGTTTCCAAACTATCAGTGCCTGCGTTACGGTTGTGATTTCCCGTTTTTCCTCGGTCACCGTCAAGAGGGCATTTGTGCTGTTCTGTGCTAGAGCGCCTGCTTCTTTTGCATTTCTAGTTAAAGGGTTGCAGGAAGCGAGGTGGAGAGCTTCTGGCAGTTAGAGGACAGAACACAGAGCTAGGTATAAGGCAGTTTTCTATGTCACAGTCATGGTTTTTTTACAAATTTGAAAGCTGACACCGTTACAAGTTTTATCAAGAACTGGGCAATGACAGGTGTGCCTGAACCAAACTTGACTGAAGGCCAATTCACACATTACAAAGTCCTTGTGCTCTCCAAGGCTGCGGTCAGAGGTGCCATTTGGCGCAGAGGGGAAGTGCCCCTATTTCCTCTGGAGGAATTTGACTCGCAGTCGCGTGATCACACATCCCTTTGTGCTGCGGGCTCAGTCCATCACTGCGTGATCAGACGCCACCTAAGGCGAGTGGGGTTTTTTGCCTTTTGTTTCCCATGCGCATAAATGAGGAATCGAACCTCCGCACTGAGGGTTCCCCAGGGAGTATGTGGTTATTTGCATAAGGGGGGGGGGGGGAGAAATGGCACTGAGTCGGTATGGAATGAGCAGTCCATCCGGACTGCCTGAGAGCGCACTTGAGTGATCAAACTAGGGAAAATCCATCTGTGGCCCGTTAGCAAGTGTTAGGACTGAACTTTCTCTGGTGTCTTTCAGCTTAGAGGGAACACTGCTGCTAAGACACATACGCCAGTTTTGGTACCTGTGAAAGCCTGACATAATTTGTGGGAGCGAGCCTGTGATCTTTCACCTCCTTTTAAATGGAGGACATTTCTAAACTGTGATCTTAATCGGCATGGTCTGTTCCTGGAACGTCAAATCTGAAAGTAGCATTGCTGAAAACAAAAATGTATTTCATTCTTTTCTTAGGCTATCGCACATTACGAGCAAGCTGCAGATTATTACAAAGGTGAAGAATCCAACAGGCAAGTCTTTTCGCGCTGAGAGTGTAAATCTGGACATATTATGTTTGTTTTCCCTTTTCCCTTCTTCACGATAGAATGAAATCCTTTCCCTTCTGGAATTCTTTCCCTTCTTGTGGAACCATCCAGATCCCAAATTAGTTTCCTCGGACTGGCATTCCCCTGGCCTGTGTGTCCATTTTAGTATCATAAATGAGTCAGGAATTCTGGGTCTGGAGCCCTGACCTGGATAGCCCAGGCAAGCCCAATCTTGTCAGATCTCGGAAGCTAAGCAGGGCTGACTCTGGCAAGTAATGGGAAGGGAGACCTCCAAGGAATACCAGGGCTAGGATGCAGAGGAAGGTGATAGCAAGCCACCTCTCTGAAACATCCAAGCCCCACGAGGGGTCACCAGAGGTCAACCATGCCTTTCAGGTGTGTGCACGCACACACACCTGCATACTCACACACACACACACATAAGAATTCTGGGTCTGGCTTAGGGTTGCCAATTCTGGGTTGGGAAGTACCTGGAGATTTTGAGAGTGGGGCCTGCGGAGGGCGGGGTTTGGGGAGGGGAGGGACCTTTAGCAGCATGTAATACCATTGTGTCCATCTTCCAAAGCAGCCATTTTCTCCTGGGGCAGTAATTTCTGTCGTCTGGAGATCAGATCTCCAGACCCCACCTGGTAGTTGGCAACCCAAGTCTGGCTGTATCAGAAGGGAGAGGAATGCGGCTTCCGGTCGAGCTAAGATGGTGCATTGACGCGTTCCGCGGCTTGTGCGGAGCGGACGATGGCCTCTTCTGACAGTTTGGGCTGTTTCCAGCCCAACGCATCGCTCCCTAGAGGGGGGGGGGGACAAGCAGGCAGCAGCACCCAAGAGGGAGTGTGAGATTGGCAAGATTGAGCTTCGGAAGAAGCTGAATCGAGCTTTGATCTCCTCCCACGAAGAGGGCAATTGCCGAGCAACTCTCCAGGGGCCGTTCGAGCCGGGTACCCGGCATAAATTCGCCGTCAGCTGACTTCTTGAAGAGGGGAAACTACTTGTAAGTGAAAAGAAGCAATGCATAACCCGAATTGATCGTGATAGATAACAAAAACGTACCGCTTACCTGAACTAAGTTACGAGTTAATCTGATGCATGCGGTCAAGCGGATAGTCAATTAAAGATCCCAGTGATCTGATTCCGGATAAGAAATGAATTGATTGAAGGCGTTAAAAGGAGAAAAACGTTATTGTTGAACATTCCTGTGGCGGCAGAAGAGATAAGCGCGCGACTGAAAAACCGAAACTGACGAAAGTTATCGCGGGAAGAGGGAGGTTGGTGTGGCTGAGAAAGGTTTCCGACCCGAACAAGAGGAAGCTGAAATCCTAGACAAGCCAATAACAACAGGAAGAAGGTCGGAACTATGAAAGCGTAGTACCGGATGTGTGTACATGCGCAC